GGAGCCGGCCCCGCAGCAGCAGCAGCAGCAGCAGCAGCAGCAGACAGTGGCAGCAAAAAGGAGTTTGCTGCGGGTGCTTTGGGGGGCCCCCCGCGTATCCTTTGAGAGGGATTGAAGGGGGCCCCCTCTGTTACCCCTCCAGTGCTGCTGCTGCTGCTGTTGCTGCTGCTGCTGTTGCTTCTGCGCAGCAGAAAGAAAGGAGGTGAGTTGGTGCCCAGAGGATCGGCAAGTGTCTCCTCTAAGCTGAAGTGCTGCGCGAGTGCTGCTGCTGCTGCTTCTTCTTCTTCTTCTGTTGCAGGGGGTATTGCTGCTGCCGCTTGGCTGTTGTTACTGCTACTGCTGCTGCTGCTGTTGCTGCTGCTGCTGCTGCTGCTGCGTGCAGCAAGAGCAGCATGAAACTGCACTTCTTGCTGCACCAGCTGTCTCTTCAACTCCGCTACGTGCTGCTCGTAGTGCTGCCGCAGTGTGCAGAGACGGTCCCCAGCGTCTGCTGACCTCTGCAGCAGCAGCAAGCAGCAGCAGCAAGCAGCAGCAGCAAGCAGCAGCAAAGCAGCAGCAAAGGCAGCAGCAACAAACAGCAGCAGCAACAGCAGTAACAACAAGCAGCAGCAGTAAAAGCAAATGCAGCAGCAGTAAAAGCAGCAGCAACAGCAACAGATGCCACTCCTGCTGCTGCTGCTGCTGCTTGTTTACCTCCTGTCTCTGCTTCTGCTGCTTGATTTCTTTCTGTCTCTGTCTCTCTGTCTCTGTCTGTCTCTCTTTCTGTCTGTATTCCTCCCGTTTTTTATTTGTCTCTCTATTTTATATATTTCTTTTGCTTTCTTTTTATATTTAAATCTTTATTTTTATTTATTTATTTTTTTGTTTAAACAAACCTCTTCTGCTGCCTTCACCTTCGCCTCCAGAGCCTCTATACGCCTCATCGCAGCATCAAGCTGCAGCAACAGCAGCAGCAACAGCAGCAGCAACAGCAGCAGCAGCAACAACAGGCGGAATCAGCACAGAGGCAAACAAGCCCAACTTCCCCCAAACCCTAAACCCTAAACCCTAAACCCTAAACCCTGCGATGGTGAGGCATAGAGACTGGAACGAGGGTTTAGCGATCCTTTTAGGGTTTAGGGTTTGCTGCGGCGTGTTATATTTGTCTCCTTTCAATTTCTGTCTCCTTTTAATATTTGTCTCCTTTTGATATTTGTCTCCTCTCTGTCTCTGTCTTCTTTTAATTTGCAGCAGTAACAGCAGCAACAACAGCAGCAGCAACAGCAGCAGCAAGCGTGCGAGCCTTATGCATGCAGATGCATATACAGCGGGAATCTTCATGCGTTTCTCTGAGGAAGAGTTTTAATGCTGCTACTCATTTTACTTTATTTGTTTATTTTATTTATTTTATTTATTTATTTTATTTATTTATTTATTTATTTATTGTTTGTTTATTTATTTTTCTTTTCTCATTTCGTCCCCTGTATGCCCACGCACAACCAAAAGAAGCAGCAGCAGCAACAGCAGCATCAGCAGCAGCAGCAATAGCAGCAACAGCATAAGCATCAGCAGCAGAAACAGCAGCAAGGGATAGCGAAAGAGACAAACCTCTCTGCTGTCGCCTTCCGCATGCTGCAGCCCCATGGCCTGGAGAGTCATTTGCTGCTGTCTCCTTTGAGTTGAGGTGTCTCCTGAGGGCCCCACAGCAGAGTCTGCATGCATGCATTACCTCGCTGCTGCAGCTACAGCAGCAGCAGCAGCTGTTGCTGCTGCTGCACCTCGGGTGTCTCTATTGCTCGTCATTTATCTTTTCTCACTGTCTCCCTCTGTATCTGTCTCTCCTCCTCTTTAAACTTCTTTATTATATTTTGGGGGCCCCTTCTTACCCTTATAAAAACCCTCTGTCTCTAACCCTACTGCAGCATTTGCTGATTTCTCGCTCTTGCTGCTACGTATCCCTGAAGAGACACCTGAGCCAGTCCCTTCGGGGGCCCCCCACTGGAGGCCCCCCTCCTTAGAGGGCCCCCTTAGGGGGCCCCCTTCCTTAGGGGCCCCCTTTAGGGAGCCCCCCTCCTTAGAGGCCCCCCTTAGGGGGCCCCCTTCCTTAGAGGCCCCCCTCTGGGGGCCCCCCACCCTCTGTGGGCCACCCCGCACAGGGGCCCCCATCTGGGGGCCCCCCAATAGGGTACTGTTTGGGGGGGGGGCCCCCGCAGCAGACTTTGAAGATGCGTTGCATAGAGCGAGAGAGCGAGGGCCCCCGCATGCAATTTTTGACACGCCTTTTCCTCTTAAAACCCGCAGCAAAGTGGGGACGTTGGGAGCAGCAGAAGGGTCTCCGTGGCCTACAGCCTGGAGACACAGCAGCAGCAGCAGCAGCAGAAGCAGAGGCAGCAGAAGCAGCAGCGGCAAAGGGAGCAGTAAAAGGAAGAGCCGAAGCAGTAGCAGCAGCAGCAGCAGTACCAGCAGCAGCAACAAAAACAACACCAACAGCAGCAAAAGCAAAAACGCCAGCACCAACAGCAGCAGCAGCAGCAGAAGCAGCAAAAGCAGCAGCAGCAGCAGCAGCAGCAGCGAGATAAAGGGAACTGATTAAGGGATTGGAGGGAGGAGACAAAATAAATAAAACAACAAACCACAAAAACTAAAAACATATAAATGCATAAACAACTAGAAAGACTACAGCAGCAGATTAGAGACAGCCGCTTCGCATGTAATGTGCTGCTGCTGCTGCTGTTCCTGTCTTTATTGTTAATGCTGCTGCTTCTTTAGGTGTTGCTGCTGTTAATGGTGTTTCTGCCCCCGTTCTTGTTGCTGTTGTTGCTGTTGTTGCTGCTATTGTTGCTGCTGTTGCTGCTGCTGCCGTTGCTGCTGCTGTTGCTGCTGCTGCTGCAGTGTGGGCCTTACATGTGAGGTGCCCCAGGCCCAGATGTCTCCTGAGGGAAGAAGGATGAAATACGCAAAGACAAAAGGAGACAGTTAAAGCAAAAGGAGACAGCAAAACAAAACAACAAAGGAGACAGCAAAACAAAACAACAAAGGAGACAGCAAAACAAACCAACAAAGGAGACAACCAGAAG